CAAGGAATTCGTACATTTGGATTCGAGACTTTCGCTCTACACAGAATATAAATGATTAAACATGTTTTCTTTAAGTAATATCATGTTCCGGAGACTTTAAGTTTGATGAAACATTTTCTTTAAATTAATAATAGCTTTAGATGAAATTAATGCATCTCTAAAATTCTTAGACACGTTTCCCTCGAGTATTGGCTCATTAAGGCGAAATTAATAATAGTTTTATGTGAAATTAATGCGTTTCAATACCATTAAAATCCTTAGACACGTTTCCCTCGAGTATTTAGCTCATTAAGGCGTAATTAATAATAGTTTTAGATGAAATCAATGCGCCTCAATACCATTAAAATCCTTAGACACGTTTCCCTCGAGTATTTGGCTCATAAATAATAGTTTTAGATGAAATTAGTGCACCTCAATACCATTAAAATCCTTAGACACGTTTCCCTCCATTAATTGGCTCATTAAGGCGCAATTCTGATTATGATTCGAGTTTGGATAAAGTAAATTAAGCAAAGATTACTTACCAGGTTCTTCATCTTGCTTTAGTTCGGGACTGCAGCTGCTGCACTTTCGACCGTAGCTCCTGTCGGCTCTTATATACCCCTCTGACACCGGCGCTGGTCTCTTGGCTCCTCCCTGACCCTTCTCCTACCCCCCCCCCTCTCTCTCTCCCTCGCTTCATGACCCTCTCCCCCCCCCACCCCCCCACTCTCCTTGCCCCTCCCACTTCATGACCCTCTCCCTCTCCCCCCCTACCCCCCCACTCTCTTTGCCCCTCCCACTTCATGACTCTCTCTCTCTCTCTACTCCCCTTTCTCCCCCCCCCTTCCCACTACCTTATGACCCTCCCTTTGCCCCTCCCATCTCATGACCCTCTCCCTCCCCCCCCCCTCTCTCTCTACTCCCCCCCCCCCTGTGCACATATTAAGCACTGCCTCAAAAAGATGTTTTTTGTGTCCAACTCCAGAGAGCATTTGAGACAACTCCTGTGCGGCCATTTGACGTCTGGTATTTGTGTCGAAAGGCCATACATGCACACACGCACAGGCATACGTACACATAGACACACATGCACATACACAGGCACACACACACACACATATCAAACATAAACACACACACAAATATAAACACACACACACATTAAACATAAACACACATACAAATATAAACACACACACAAATAAACACACACGCAAACACACACACACACACATCAAACATAACCACATACAAACATAAACACACACACGCAAACACACACACACACACACACACACACACACACACACACACACACACACACACACACACACACACACACACACACACACACACACACACACAAACACACACACACACAAATAAACAAACAAGCCTATACATACGTACATGGACATTGCCACTAATTAATTTTATTTATTCTTGCAACAATTCAAATGACGAAATATCAATATGTTTGTCCTTCATGATTGATTTAAAATAAGGAGGACAAAGAGGAAGAAAGAAGGAGAAAGAGAATAATGGAGGAAGTTAGAAGGAGGGAAGATGATGAAGGAAGAAGAAAAAAGGAAGAAGAAAGAAGAAAGGAGGATTGAGAAAGGGGATTAGGAAGGAGGGAGGAGAAAGGGGGAATAAGGAAGAAGGAAGGAAGAGGAAGTAGGGGAATGATGGAGGAAAGTAGGAGGAGGAAGGATGATGGAGGATGGAGGATAAAGGAAGGAGATAGGAGGAAGGGGGTAATAGGTAGGAAGAGTGGAAGGGAAAAGGGGAACAAGAAAGGAGGATAAAGGAATAAGAATGGAAGAAAGAGGACGGAGGAAGAGGAGGGTGAAGGGAGAAGAAATGAAGAAAGGAGGATGAAGTATGGAGGACTAAGAAAATGAGAATTAGGAAGGAGGAAGGAGAAAGGGGGAATGAGGAAGAAGAAAGGGAGAGGAAGTAGGGGAATGATGGAGGAAAGTGGGAGGAAGGGAAAAGAGAAAGAAGAAAGGAGGATGCACGAAGGAGAATGGAAGAAAAAGGACGGAGGAAAAGGGGAGGGAAGAAGAAAGAAGGAAGAATGGCGGATGGAGGACTGAGAAAGGGAGAATTAGGAAAGAGGAAAGAGAAAAGGGAAATAAGGAAGAAGGAAGGAGAAGGAGGAAGCAGAAAGGGAGAATAAGGAAAAAGAAAGAAGAATAGAGAATGAAGTATAAAGGAAGTGGAAAAAAGGGGGAAAGGAAGGAAGAAAAAGTAAGGACGACGATGAATAACGGAAGAGGATGAAGAAAGGAAAAAAACCAAGAAGGATGTTAAAAAGAGAAATGAAGAGGAAGGAAGAAGGAAAGAAGGAATTAAAAAGAAGGATGGAAGGAAAGGAGGAAGGAGAAAGGAGAACGAAGGAAGAATATGAAAGGTAAGGTTGACAGAAGACAAAATGATACTGGTAGAGGGGCAGAGAGGGCGAAGCGTACAGTATATACATGGGTAGGTGAGAGAGGGGGTGAAGAAGAAGAAG